CCTCCTCCTCCTCCTCCTCAAGAAACAAACAAAAACAATGTGTGGTCAACACACGGCCACTCCAACATTAACATTTGTGTTAACTTTTATTGATATGTCCATCGTTTTGCTATCATCATGGAACTTACCCTCATCTCTCATACCCCCTCCCACCATCCCCCCACCACTTTTACTTTATTCATCTCCATGCTAACAAAACAAACGTCACGTCGTGTCACGTCGCGTCACGCTACGTCACGCCACGCCACGCCACGCCACGCCAGGAGCGGGAGGTAGAACCCGGAGGACAGCTGTTTGTCCTCAGCTTGTAGACGTTTGACCCCCTCCCCTTTAACCTTAGACCTTTCCAAAAGTTTCCCCGGGATGGCAAGTAGCAGTGGCCGACCTTTCTTCTTTTTTTTTTTCTTCCTTCTTCTTTCCGTTATAATTTCTTCTTTCTTCTCTACGTGTACTGCGTCACAACTGCTACGGATTTCACACGATTTTTCCGGGTTTTTAAAAATTATTTGTTTGTTTGTTGGGGTTTTGATTTTTGGTCACTCTCACCGCTCGTATTTATGTGATTTTTTTCTCTTCACTTTTATTCCAGGTTTGTCTATGTTTTTTGTTTGTTTGTTGTTTTTTTTTTTAAAGAATAGATTTGTTCATTTTGATCTGACGTGCTGCTTGGATTGGAATGGATTGGATGTGAATCTTGATTTTTTTTTGGTGGTTTTTTTAAAATATTGTTATTTGTTGTCTTATTTAATAAATTTTTTTGTTGTTTTGATTTGCTGAAATATACATTTCGTTTACCTTTCAGCTGAGTTTAGGCACACACACACACACACACACACACACACACACACACACACACACACACACACACACACACACACACACACACACTCACATAACCGAAAAACCTAACACACACAGACTCACATCCACACACTCACACACACACACACACACACACACACTCACACACACACACACACACACACACACACACACACACACACACACACACACTCACATAACCGAAAAACCTAACACACACAGACTCACATCCACACACTCACACACACACACACACACACACACACTCACACACACACACACACACACACACACACACACACACACATCAAGGTATATCGATTATGTGCAACACTTTTCTTTCTCCAACTATATTTCAGCTACGTTGACTTTTGTTTCATTCAGTGATTTTATAAAAAGAATTTTCATTTTTTTAAAAGTTTTGATGTGTGCGTTAGTCTGGTCACCACACGACTTTATGGGCCCCTCTTTTGTTTGTGTTGTAGCTGGTGAAGGTTTGATAGGATTTATCACTTTTATAGCTCATCAGATATGCCGATCACAAGATGGGGATGTTTTTTATTTTGTTTTTGTTGTTTGTTTTTCTCTTCTTGATTTTGCACTGAAAACACATTTACTGTGCTTGGATCTTCTTCCATCCCTCTCACCAAAATGAAACACGTGCGCACAGGCACACATAAACACACTTGGGCGCGTACACACGCGTACGCACACACACGCACACACACACGCACACACACACACCTCTCTCTCTCTCTCTCTCTCTCTCTCTCTCTCTCTCTCTCTCTCTCTCTCTCTCTCTCTCTCTCTGCCCCCCCCCCCCCCCGGTCTGTCCTAGCTACCATATTATTATTTTACTTTACGTTATTGACATCTCTATCAGCGCACACCACATTGGGGACTTGGTTATTCTAGTACACCATGTATGTATTATTGGTCTATCAGTGCGCACGGGGTGTGTGGACTGTGTGTATTGCCAGTTTGTGCATGGCCAGGGTGCCGGTGTTGGCCACAGTCATATCTGGACTCATTTCTTTACATCGGGCCTGATTGAAGTGATTGTGTGTTTCTTTTCTTTTCATGCCATCAGCTGATTTGAGTAGGGCCGAAAAAAATTTGTGTATTTTTTGTTCATTAATGACAAATTGTGGTAGATTGAGTTAATTTCTAAAAACATTTTCTGAGGAAATTAATATTTATTTTTACATGTAGTAGCTTCCTTTTGAAACTAAAAGTAATAGGCCTCTAAAAATGTGTTTAAAAAAAATAAATAAATGAATACGGTGAACTGAATATTTATGAATACATATGATGCATACATCGTAATTCGATAAATTTTCTTAGCTGTTAAGGGATAGCTATTAAGATACCACAAGAAGTGGCAAATTAAATACATTATGTTTATATTGCATACATCATAATTTGATACATTTTCCTATCGTTAAGGGGTGGAAGCTAAAAAAATTAAGAAATAGATTTATTATTTTTCTGAACTGAGTGCCTGAATTATAATATAAATGTCTTTGCCACATAGAGAGTTACTTTGTTCAATAGAATTTAGAGCCACTGATGCTCTCAATTAAGCCTTAATACTTAACCTGAGACAACAATGTGTACATTTTAAACGTTCATTTGGCTATTTGGCCTAAGTTTGTTTCACCAGAGCACATTCACATCGACAGGTTATTTTTCACCTGCAAGAATCATTCACTGATTGATTCATTTTGGCTGAATACAGGACACCTTGTTTCTCTGAACTACCTCATTTAATTGTGTTTCTTTAACCTTACTATAAGGATTTTATAAAAAGAAAATTGATAAAGTTTGATATTCTAAAGGAGCCCCTTTTGCTTTTTATACCTGGTGTTTTTGGAAGCACTCATGACACTGAAAAATTGTTATTATGATCATGAAAAAAGAGAATGCTTTTGCTTTTCACTTCTCTTGACACAGTGTGAAACCAAAATTAAATGAATAAAAAAAGTGCTACGATCTGTTTGCAAGTAAAAGTGACAATTTCATGGTTTTTTTTCTAACTCTGCCTTTTTTTTTTTGTAAAGAAGGTCTAATTTTAAAAAAATGACAAATTGTGGTCTATTGAGTTAATTTAAAAAAATATTTTCTGATGTTTTTGAGTGTACTGACAGTTGGCTGTATTTCTTCCCTCAGCTGAGAGGCGGGCACAGCTAGCGCGCTCACGGTCACGACAGAACCTGTACAACGTGGATGCTTCGACTCTGCGAGAGATTGACTTTGATGACTCCAATGTCAGCTCCTCCCCAAACTCCAGCGTCGCTCAGGAAAACGCGAAAAACCGCAGCCGAGGGAAGAGAGATGACAGTGAGTCGGAGGCGGAGCAACTGCTGGAGAGACTGAAGGCATTGTGATTGGCTGACTGGTGAAGAAATGTTGTGTGATTGGCTGATTGGTGAAGAGGTGTTGTATGATTGGCTGATTGGTGAAGAGGTGTTGTGTGATTGGCTGATTGGTGAAGAGGTGTATGATTGGCTGACTGATGAAGAGGTGTTGTATGATTGGCTGATTGGTGAAGAGGTGTTGTATGATTGGTCAGAAGAAAGGAAGTGCTGAAAGCAGTGTGGATGGCTGAATGTCGGAGGCAGCTTGTAAAACTAGATAAAATGATGGAGAAAAGCGTCATGATTGGGTTTATAGTTGATTGAATGAAAGAGGCAGCTTTTTTCAATATTTTTTTTTTTTTTGTTTCAGGGGATTTTCCTGTATAAGGCTGAATGAAAATACTTTGTTTGGGTCTTTTTAAAAAACGTGGGTGTTTAATCAAAAGTATGAAATGGTGTAACTAGAGGGTTAGAGCTGTGGCTGGTACAAACTTTGTATAAAAAAGAGTGGAGCAACTGCCTGACGTTGTCATAGAATTGTTTATATATATACGGTATATATATATAAGCATGAATATTCTGTTTTCTTATCTTGTGAATCCTTCCATGTATAATAATAAATCTTTGTTGGTTGGTCATAATTTCTGTAGATGTGTTTGCCCCCTCTCTCGACATGGACTCTTTGACTAAATGTTCAAAGTTGTTGAGATATTTGTATAGCATGCAGGCGGGGGGATGTCTGCTTGCTGTACGATACTAGTTTGTCTTCGTCTTTAGTTGCTGGCAGCCCTCTCAGACACGCCCTCTTCTACTCTCATTTAGACGCTCTTGCAACTTAAGCGTATGACACAAATTTGTTGTCTCATGCTGCCTTGTATCCACTATCAGGAATGTACATGCCAGTTATCATTTTTCTTTGCTTTAAATATTCCAGACAATTCATATGCTTCATTCAAGGATTTGCCTCTCACAGTGTCTTACGTTAATAAAGCTGTCAGGACTTCTCTGTTGACATCCACCCCTTGGCGCTCATATGACCTTATGCAGTTGCGAGCGCAGTAAAACCTCTACTAAAACTAAAACTAAACGTCAATAAATATCACCATGAGATTGGGCTATAGAATATAATGCAGAAAACATGAGGGAAAAGGGGAGGGGTGGGGAAACAGCTGGCTTAGTCTTTAGATTTTGTCTGCTGCAGTTTTTTAATTTACTTTTTTCACCCTTTCACGAACATGGTTCTAATGGCAGAAGTGGCAGTGGAGTTTTTGAAAGATCCCCCCCCCCCCCCCCCCCGTTAGTGTTAAACGTGGCTTGTGATTATGGTAGTTTCTATCTTGCGTTGTTCCATGTTTTGATTTATCTTTTGTAGGAAGCATTTGATGTTTTTAGTTGATTGTAATTGTTTCCGTCTAAAAAAACCTGAATGGTAGCTTCTTAAATATGTTTTAGGATAAGTTTCGAAAGTGTTAGGAATTAGAACACATTCAGTTTTCATCCATTGTAGACTTTTGGTTGGTTTCATTTTGTTGAGTATTTAAATCTGTGTTACGACTATTGAAATCAAAGACTTTTCCCATCTATATTTCTAAAGTTCCCTTGTTTAGTTTTAAAGTATTCAGGGCTTCTTGTTACTGTAAGTTGGGGAAAGGGAAACGGGGAATAACTAAACTGTTTACAACAATTCTAGCAATCTGGTCAGCAGGAAATGATACTGTCGTAAATCATGATTCTAGATTTTTTTTTTGACATTTGCATTGTCATGTGCAGCAACAGGGTGCGTCACATCACATTGCAACATAAATGAGGTATAATTTTCACAATGATGAATTCTTGATACAATTTTTTATTTTCATCTTGTCATGAAAAGTACAAATACAAATTTTGTCAATATTATTGTGCCAGGAAGCGAGATAACATTGACAAATGTCTTTTTATTTACCCCACCATTATTGGTAATGTCTATTAGAGTTGCTAAAGGTTTCTTAAAATTTTTTTGGTTATGAAACTGATCTTCCTATGAGATTGTAAGTGATTATAGACACCTGGCCAATGGATGTCGTAAGAAGATGGTGATTGAAAGAGAGGAAATAATTGTGTGAGGAATTCTGTAAATAAAATTCAAGTTGTACATTGCGTGTATCTTTCGTTGTAGTTCAGGTGAACATGTTACAAAACTGAAATATTATCTCTTATTGGAAATAAATGCATAAATGGAGCCAACATGAAATGGGAAAATTACCAAAGTGAAATATAATAATAAACGAGAGATGTAATCGGTCACCTTGTAATGTATGCTAACAGCTCTAAAACATAAAGATAAAGATAATCATTAACATGTGCTTTCTGTTCTCCTCACTCTTATTCTCATACTCTTGTGAGCAACTTCCGGTACCGTTCACAACTATAAAATTGTAGATAGGATGAGGAAGTTTGTAATATATTAAAAATCTAATTTGTCCTTTAGCATGAATTTAATATTTGTCTTTACTTGAAGAAACAGCTTTTCGACTGACTGAATTGTGGGTCATAAGGACGAAATTTGACGTTTGGGAAATGTGCACTGTGCACTTGTATATAAAATGATAATGATAGCTCCAAGACATTTAGCTGAAATGGCGCTCACATGACCTTATGCAGTTGCGAGCGCTGAAAAACCTCTACTAAAACTAATTTAGCAGAATACTTGCATGTTTTAAGACCACTAAAGTAAGCTTGCTAACTTGTATGTTGTAAACACAGGGATCATTGGTGATAGGTTACAGCTGTTTGGGTGGGCATCAGGTGTGTGTAAATGCAGCAGTAAATGCAGCAGTAAATTTTCTTTCTTGGGTGCTTTGCCCGTAGTCGTTAATTTTTCTTTTCTGTTTTGATGCTCGTTGAATTTTAATGGGTTTATGGCCATGAGGAATACAATGACCTCCCTGAAAATGACCTACATTATGTCGAAGGGTGTTAAATTTCAACTGCTTTAAGGAGATGTCAGGCAGTGTGGTGAAATCTGGCGCTCGTCAAAATAATGAAATCAAAGAAACCAGCATTTTTCTGGCTGTTGGGCAATTTTAAAAAAAATAATTGTTTTTTCAATCAGCACCTTTCATGTCAATTTAAAGACATGTGTGTGTGTATTAGTGGAAAATGTTCATCAAATGCACAAAAAATGTAAGTTTCCAGTTTCCAAAGACTGTCAAGCTTTGGAAGTCTCAAAACTTTGGTGGACATTTTCTTGCTAATTTTACCTCTGACACCAGGCGACCCCCTTTTCCTTCAATGGCAAATATCTTGACTTCTACTCAACAATCCAAGATGAATGGGTATATTTTTCACCAAATGCTTGACAAAGGGACACGCTTTAAGATGATTATAATAACTTTATATTCCCAAAAATTGACGAGCGCCTGATTCCACCCACATATACGAATGCCCAGCTGTGACATTTTCAAGACACAGCTTTCTTAGTTTTGTGGGAAGATGTTCTTTAAGTCAAGGCATCTTAGCAGAGACAGAGTATTCTCTCATGTACATATATAACAACAGTTTTTATTTCAATTATGATAAGTCATCATCTGCTCTTGGCGGAAAAGTAGATGCATTGATGCGACGTTTGGTTTGTTGGGCATGGATTACATTATTTTGTACATTCTGAGAGAGAGAGAGAGAGAGAGAGAGAGAGAGAGAGAAAGAGAGGGAGAGGGAAGGAGGGAGGGAGGGAGAGGTGGAGGGAGAATTGGCTGCCAGTCAGTGTGAAAGTGGGTTTTTTTTGTTGTTTGTTTTGTATTCCTTCATCAAGACGACATTTCCATTAAATACCAAAAAGCAGTAGCAACAACAACAATAACAATAACAACTGTATTTTCCATCCTAATAATAATGTCCAGCACAATGCATTATAACCACTTACAATAATATTTTTATACATATGTGTTACATCATAGGAGATAAGAGGGGACCTTACCTCCTTCATCACTGATGACTAGCTATTACAATAATATAGGACTCGCAATAGTAAGTTACTGGTAGTTTGTCTTCCACAAATTTTGCAGTGAGATAGGACATAGCTTTTAACTAGTGTGAGATGAAATGTTGTCATGATATATAACGTTTGTGTGTTTACATTCTGTTCTGTGTGCCATCCTGAAAAGTAACGTACTTCCCAAATCATGTACATCTGTGACATGAATTTGCTTCACATTGTTGTTGGGATTATTAATATCATCTGTTGGTCTCTCCTGTTTCTCTTGCAAACAAGTCTGGGTGCTGTTTAGATTCTTTCCTTGTTTTTAGTATCTTGGTTTTTTCCGTGCCTGTCTTCTTTTTGTTGTTTTTGTGTACCATATGTCTATGGTGTTTTTGTTGTTCCTGTCCTCATCTTATTTGTTTCTGGTGTATGGTTGGCAGGTGCTCTGGTGTTGTTCGCATCTTCTTTCCTGTCAAACATCTATCGTCCTTATGGACCTCTTCTCCTTGGTTTGTTTTTTTTTTGTTGTGTTTGTGACTCTCTTGTAACACCTTTAATCGTCATCACTTACATGACCTTATTGTGTTGCAAGTACCGTAAAACTCATACTAAAACTAAAACTAACTTTTCTTATTCTCTTTGTTGTTGTACGTCTAGGTCATGCTGTTTTCTTTCTTTTTTATGTCTATCGTGCTTTTGTCATATAATATATTCTTGTCAGAGTTTCACGCTCTACCTGACTCACTGTAGGTCATTTTGAAGGCAGAAAACCTGGTCCTTGAACATCGTTTTTAAAAAAAGGAAATACAGGGTGGACGTGGATAGGGTTATTATCTCAAATAACTTATAAATTGAAGTTGTAACCTACTTGGCTTTTCCGGCCGGTTCCATGCACTGCAGAAAAGGTCGTCATGGTTTTTATCCTGGGAAGCTTTCACTGCGGTTGGTTGACAGGTGCTCTGATGTGGTTTGCTCCTTCTTTCCCATTAAACATCTGTTGTCCTGCTCTGTCTTCTTTCTTTTCTATGTTTGTTTCTCTCTTGTAACACCTCTAATCTTCGGCACTATATGACCTAATTGTGTCGTAAGTGCCGTTAAACTTTTAAAACTAAAAGTTTCTCAGGTGTCTACCTTTCTCGTCCCTGACCGTCATGTGCTGAATATGCAAAGATATAATTTCTTCCTACTCTGTATACTGAGTTGGTGCAGTTTAGAGTAGCTATGTTTGTGTTAGATTGTGTTCATTCCAACTCCCCCCCCCTTCTTTCTTCTAATTGAGATGGATTAAGGACTGACTGGTATAAGAGGTGATCATGCTGGGGTCACCCCCTCCCGCGCGCGCAAACACCACCCTTTGTTTCCCATTTTCAATTTCTTCATGTTTGTTAAGCTTACTTGTAGTTGCGTTTCCCTCTGATGATTCCCTTTGACTAATGAATGAATTCATGTCAGGTATTTTGAGCTTTTTTGGCCTTTTTCTTACACTCCACTTTTCCAAGATCATTCCTTTTGTCATGTGGGGAGTATGAGTTGTCTGTCTTTTGAGAACGTGGATATCCCTCTGATGGGATTCTTTACTGCTTTGTTCCTGTTGATTCTCTCTAAGATTGTTTTCTTTTTCTTTTAAAAAAGTTGACCAAAGACAAAACACACAGCTTCAGATTGTTAATAGTAATTTTTAAAAATTGTTTTGTGTGATGATTGGGATTGAAGAGGCAGGAAATGCATTACAGCTTGTAATGTTCAGATTTTGAAAAGAAGACAATGAAATCTCTGAATGAACAGACATTCCATTCCGGAACTTACTTTTTGCATCGCCTTGTGCTGCAGAAAGCCGGTCCTACCCCCTTTTAATAACCAATCCTTTTACTTTCCTCTCTTTTGTATAAGCTCTTGCGTATTTCGGCATTTCCCTCTATATTGTTGTTTATAGACCTCTGTTGTTCTATGTTGTCATTCAGCCCTGCAGCGTAGGCGCATTTTTCTTACCTGTGTTTACACTTCTTGTCACAGTCATGATACATTAAAAACACAATCAACATCTGGTGATGATTAGAAATGATTTGTCCTTTTGAAGTTTGTTTTGGCTACAGCTACAGGAGAGAGTAATTAAAAATTTAAGAGTAATAAAAAATGTGCCAATTGCCAAGTCCTTAAGAGGGTTAAAGACACCCCCCCCCCTTCAGATTGGTATTGTTCTTTAAAAGGGGAGTAACTGTCACAAGTGCAAAGAGATTGAATATCATTGTATCTATTGACCGTTTCATCACCAGATCTGCTTTCTACATGTAATTTTATCAAAGGACTCACTCAACGGTGTAGGGCGAAGCAGTGAACGGGATTATAGCAACTTGGCTAATTCTTTTCAGGTGTAGTCTTAAGTCCATTAGACAGTTCACAGAGGAAAACCACATACCACAGTGTTGAGTTGTCATTATAATAGCAGCAAGATGTGGCTGTCGTAACTGGTTGTATATATATATAATATGTCACCATTGTTTCCCCCCCTACTTCCCCTCTCTCCTACTGTACATTTTGAATTGTTTTTGAATTTGCTTGAAAGCCTCAGGTCTAGCAACTGCTGCTGTTGCCGATATAATCTTCCTTTCACTCGCCGTTGTCTTTTGGTCGTGCTTGATTACTGTCTTTCATTTGCTGCATGTTTCTTTGTCGTTATTTCTTGCGTTCTGTTAATTTAACAACTCTCATAACGTCACAATATATAAATATATACATATTTATATATATATATATATATAAATATATTACATTTCTCTTGTTGAATGATGATGTTGTAGTGTGAAGTGTAGGAGTCATGGATGTTTACTTGGAGGTAGCCATGAATAGTGTGCATGTGAAGAAATGGTTAAGTACTGTGTATATATATATATATGAGACTAATGTAGCAGCCATTTTGTCTATCTGGAGTTTGTAGGTACGCTCAAACCTTATCATACATACTTTGTTATCTCGCCAACACAATCTGTATACTGTGGATGTAAAGCTCTACTCTAAATGGACACATTAATAAAAGTGTTGAAAAAAGAACTCGTTACCCCTTCTGGCAGCACTTTGTGTTCACTGTGTTTATTTCTGCTTACTGTAGTAAAATCCGTTTTTCTATTTTATCTTTGACAGCGAGCAGTAGCTTTTGTCACTAGGTGGCGCAAAAAATGTTGGACTTGTGTGTGATGCCGTCATTTTTGCTGTGATTGTGCATCAAGACATTACTCTGCTCTTTTCGGCTCAATGCCAATTAACGTTGTAGGACATGACTTTCAGTTGCCAGATGTGTGTGAGCATAGCTTCTGTCTGTTTTAGACATGGTACATACTGTCAGTTTATAAAATCAGACTTGATCACTCGCGTAGCACATGCTTATGCTAAAAAGAACAGCCAGTGATATGTTTTCACAGTGTTGAAAAAGGCTAGACGAGCTTTAAAAGAAAATTAAGCTAGCTATGAAATTAATGTTCTCACAGAATGTTGTCACCCTTTGCCATGTAGATCAGTAAGTGCAGGTTCATGCTTGGATTAAATAATGGTTAAAGTGATTTGGTTTTTGAAATTGGG